GAAGGAGGGGGTGGGGGGGGGGGGTGTTTACCTCACACTCAGAATGTTCCCCTCTGCCTGATTCTGCAGATACGTCTTCACCACCCAGGCCGTGTGCTCCCGATAGGTCATAACGCGGCTGCAAAAAGAAAAGTAGGTCATGTGATGCACCGAGGAACTGCACGTGTCCCATTTAAGAATCACTGGATACAACACGTTTATTGTCATCTATTTTATTTGCAGGGCGGGACACGGAAACATAGCCCCACACTTGAAACCCTCCCAGAATGTGTGGTCACTCCAACATACCAGACCATCATGGCAGGTGGGACCTGTTGCCCCAGCTCAGACCAGTTCAGCTGTAACATGCGAAGGAAAGGAAATCGGCCACATGCAGGAGATAGAACTCCAATCTCTACAGCTGCTCTGGTGGCCTACAAGGAGGAGGGGCCGGCTTCTCCTGGTCCAAGGAACCACAGATGATTCTGGGAAGGAAGGCATCTGTGGCAAACACTGGACACCTTGCAGGAGGTGGGGACCCGAAACGTTGCATTTTTGATGCGACAATATGCGTGAATGAACGACGCTTTATTTTGGACATCATCCATTGGTGTGCTGGTGACATTTCCGATGTACACTGCGCGGCGCCATCCGCAGTCTCTTCAGCACCCATCTTTCAGCACAAGGGGCAGTTGGTAAGGAGTGCGGTAGTTATCTACGGTTATGTGGCAAACACGGGGCAGCTTGCAGGAGGTGGGGACCTTACCAGTCGTTCTGGGACATCCTGCGATCAAACACTCGAACGGTGCCGTCGCCGAGGCCGGCCACAATGAGGGAGCGATGAGAGTCGCAGGACAGGCTCGTCACACAGCTTTCAGCTCCGGTTGGAATATCCTAAAGAGCAAAACAAAATATGGGTTGAAGTAGAACTCTGATGTAAGCAGATGCCGTCATCATGTGGTTCCCATTGTGCAGTTCAGCTCTCTCTTCGAATTCTGTCTCTGATCCTAAAGCTGGGGGGGGCATGCTAACATGTAATACAGCCGGTCATCTCAACCAGATACCAAACGTAGTTTGTTCTCTATGCCAATCCTGCTAAATTATCACTGGATGTCAGTGGGCGGCGTGCTGCGTCTGGATCCCACCCCATCACCTACAGCTGTGACCGGCTGGAGAATTCACCATGTGTGTGACGTGTGGGGACAATGACGGGAGTATCCGGCTGCCTCAAAGGCCACCGTAGTCACAGCTCACCTGAACTTTCATCTCCCTTTCCGTGTCCCATATCCGGATGATTCGGACGTCGCCGGATGTGATGAGAAATCCGGTCTCCTGCTCCCAGTCCACCACCATTCCTGCACCTGAGAAAGAGAGACATTCTAGAGCATTCCAGACCGTCCAACACCAGCCCCCCCCCAAGGAGCTTACAATCTATTGTACCCACCACCATCAGTACACACAGACTAGAACCAACACAGGTAAGAGACATAGAAGTCCTTCCAGTATGGTTTGGGTTGTAGAAATAAGCTGAAGGGCCCATTTACATTTGTGTGGTGTGTCACGCGTTAACATGCTTTGCGTTATGGCATCCCTATTGAAATCAAGTCACCAAAAGTGTCCCTCAAAAAATGGACTTGCCACAAAAGTTTTAACGCACAATTGTGGTTGCTGGGCACTTCAGCAAGCTGCTCATAGGGCCCATTTACACTCTTGCGTTGTGGTAGCCAAAGGCAACGCTTGATACATGCATTGCAGCGCCTTTAATTCTGAATGGCACCCCAACGCACTAAGGCAACACGCACATCTCTGATAAATATTGATCTGCCTGCCTTCTGTTATTGAGGTCCACCCTTCAGACCTCAAGTTGAGAGCTCCCTATATTGTCCCTACTATAGGCATGTGCTCCTGTTGGGACGATCCTTCTCACTGCCTCCTGTTCAGGGGACACTATTTACACCGGGAATCTCTGGGCTGGGCAGATAACAGCAACAGTGTTAAAAACAAAAGGAGGTTCCAACTCTGCCCCAGTTAAAGCCCAACTCCGGACCGATTCCCATTTCCTGGTCCTATGCACTGCACTGCCAGTCTGATCAGCTGAAGTCATCACATACAATGCAGGACCAGAGACCACTCCTGTACATGGTGACACAGGACTGGATGACCACAGAATGAGGCGGAAGGGACCTCCAGCTGCTGTGGCACTGTCAAGTAATGAAAGTTTTAGAAAAAACAAGGGAACAGAAAAGGAGTTTAACGCTAAATGAGACAATAACATATACATATATATTTGACCAAACTTCAGGGTTTCAAATAGACTATTCAAAAAAATCTTGTCCCCTATGAAGAGAAATCCCTCAAAAAGAAGATGGTCTGATGAATAGATCACAATTAATTAAGTAATGTAACAAATTTAATAATTAATATACACATAAAGACACCTATACAAAACATTTAAAAACCATTAAAAAAGCTTCCCTGAATCACCTAAGTATAATGATGTGAATGTTCAGATATATAAATCTTCTAAAAAGCAGGAAGTCTCTGGTGCAGGCAGAATGGTGATATATCAAAAATAGACTAGCGGAGCTGTACTCACGTTGTGTTTATAAACCGTGGTGGAATAGTCCTCAATATATCCCACAACGATATTTGCAAGTAGACTGTTTCATAACGTGGTATCCAATTGTAGCGATTTCCTTTCAAAGAGATCCGCTTCAATAGCGGGGCAGAGATTCCTTTAATATTCTTTTCCCCCGTCTGGTTTTTAATTGCACCACTGTGTGGGATTAAATTCCAATTTGAGGGAAAGGAGCCTCAAAGAGAGTATCCACTCGTGCGGCCGCACTGTGGGATGGAGTTTGATGAGGTCCTCACAGCAGTATGTCCAGTGACACGGGGAGGAGTAGGAACTGTGTATATTTACACTGGCAAAGATTCACTCTCGTCTCCCGGTCTTGGCTATAGTGAACACAATCTATTGCCGCTGTGCTCAGGCAAAGTCTGCATCGGGTTTGTTTAGTCCACTAAACTCGGCGGCTGCAGAGTCTCTGTTTCTGGTTTTTAAATGTTTTGTATAGGTGTCTTTATGTGTATATATTATTAAATTTGCTACATTACTTAATCAATTGTGATCTATTCATCAGACCATCTTCTTTTTGAGGGATTTCTCTTCATAGGGGACAAGAATTTTTTTGAATAATGAAAGTTTTACTCCGTTATATCAATCACTTTACAAGATGGAGGAGGCAAAGTGTTCACATATAACATCTAGTCGGGGCGCCACTTTAAATTGCAGGAACACTACTGAGGGGAATTTAACACCTGCCATTGCTGACTGGTTTCCTGGCTTTCACAATCGGCCTCAAACTAGCATGCACAGTCCAGGAATAGTCTTTAATTTTCTGATCTGCATTCTTGTGAAAGGTCAGAGAGAGACTCAAAGTTTGAAACCAGGGGATCCCCATGACACCCAGATAACATTCTCCATAAAAGGTGAGCCATGCCAGCCCAGGTTTCCAGTGTATGAACCTGCTGGCTCTCAGGACACACCACCAAACACCAAGGACTGGACTCCCCACCTTGTTTACTCTTGTCCAGGTAAATGGAAACTCGCCGCGTCAAGCCTGAGGACCAAAAATGATAAAGAAAGGGTTAAACGTTAAATAATGACCCCCCCCCCCCCCCCCGGGGGAAGAAAAGGGAAAGGGTC